AGCTACTAAGCTACCCAAAGAAGAAAGGTGACTGGTAAAAACAAGAGTAAACACGACACAAAATAACAGAACATGAATACGTTCGTCTGACCACACGCCGCTGTTAGACATGTTGTCAGTGACTAATTATCATGGAAAGCTACAATGATTTACTGGGAGATGCAGTAAAGTTGTTGTGAACAAACAAAAAAAGTGTGACAAGGAGCCGGCTCTGCTAGCTCAGCCCTGCTCCGTCACACAGCACTTGGAGTGACTGCTTTCTTGAGTTTTGTATTGACAAAGTCATTTGCAGCTGTAGGACCTTCAAACCGATGTGTGTCTCCGCTAGGCAGCGTGATTCGGAGTACCGCTGGGTAGAGAAGTCCAAACTTAATGCCCGGACATGAGTGCAGCTGACGCTTGACAGTTCCAAAAGCAGCTCGCTTTTTAGCAACGGTGGAGGTGTAGTCAGCAAAGATAGAAATCCTCTTACCCTGGCAGAGGAGGGGAGACAGTTCCCCGGCCCGACGTAGGATCTCATTGCGAATGTGAAAGTAATGAACTCTTACGACGAATGGCGGGGTGCATCTCCCTCTCTGGGCCTGTCCCGCAGTGTACGATGGGCTCGATCTAGCAGGGGCTTTTCATCCAAGCGAAGTATTTCCTGAAGTAGTTTGGCAATAAACTCAGTAGGACGAGGTCCCTCCAATCCCTCCGATATGCCCACCAGCCGAATATTATTCCTTCTGGATCTCCCCTCCGTCCTCGCACCGATCATCAGCATGTTTAGCCTGAGCCGTGAGCCTGCTAACTGTAGCTTCCAGCTCCGTTATCCTTCCGCCATGGTCCGTAGCAGCTCGTTCAAGCTCAAGCACAGTTTGTCCGTGTTGATCGACTTTAGCTTGTAATTGTCCTATTGACTCTTTAGTTCTTTTCGGACAGAGGTAATCTCGGAGCATAGGCTGGAAGACAAAGAGTCAATTTTGCCAAAAATTGGCTTTCAGGGGGTCCATCATACTTTGTAAAAGTTCGGCGTCGAGTGCGTTAGCTTCAGCCACCCCTCGAGTAGCGTTAGCCGGGTCAGGCAAAGGCGAGGTTTTGCTGCGGCCTCCTCTCTGTGCTTCGGATTTTTGGCGAGCAGAAGACATTTCGGTTGTTTTGGTTAACAAAAGTCACGTACGACGAATCCTTAGTTTATGTTCTATTTCATTTCAACAATAAAATACCAAAATTGTGCAGGATTTATGAAATTAAGTCACATTCTCAGGAGCAGCGGAGAAACACGTCTTACATCCTCAGTGCCCGTGACTCCTTCCTTCTGTTTTGGTAAAGTTAAACGTCAAATACAAACCTGACACTTTGCTAGGTATGGTTATACCCAAAAATACTTTAATAGTTTACCGTTTACTGACAAATAAAGCCCAGAAAGAACTGTAAAAACTGTTTGTGAAACTGACCGTTGAGCGGCCCGACCAAGCAAGGAGGCAGAGGCCAAACGTCCCAAATACAACCCGGTGTGGGCATTTATTAAAATCATAGACACATGACTCACAGCCTCAATCCTGCTGTTCTCCCTGAACACATCCTGCAGCCACAAGGATCTCACCCACACAAACAGGAAACACAGAGCCTAAATGCCCACAGACTAATCAATCAACAAGACACAGGTGAGGGGGGAGGAGACAACACAGGGCACCAGGTGCACACAATCAGCAGCAACAGACATGGGTGATATGTCAACTTTACACAGTGGTAACTTGTACAATTAATGCAACTTAACGTCCATGATTTTCACACCCTCAACATACCATTTGCACCCTGATTATTCTCAACCGCTGTCATTCTTACACCAGCATAAATACATTCCGCAATCTCGCTAACTCCCCTATCTTTTCAGGCGGAGCCGAGGACCCGACCAGCACCTGCCGGACAACATTCCAATCAATACGGTTTAATCAGTTAATAAATACTACCTCAATAATTTGTATAAATTATATAAAATTTGCAAATATGCAATGCCAAACTTTACTGTGCAATCACGCTAATAAAGTGCAAACTGTTCACTAAAGTGCTGAGTGACTTTATCTCTGCAAAGGGATGTTGTTGTGCAAACCCACATGTGCAATATCACAAGGCCCGAAGCCGTCAGTCCACAGTGACGAAGTTACCCAGTCACACTGTGTGATATTGCACATGTGGGTTTGCACAACAACATCCCTTTGCAGAGATAANGCGAGTCTAGTCGACAGTCTCTCCCCCTCCTTTCTCTCCGGTAAATATAATAATATTATATCGCAGCAATAGTTAATAAACAAATTTCTAGTTATTTATTGTGTCTCTGCAGGGTAAGGGGTCCCCCAACTTTCAAACGCGCTTAGTACCAGCGAGATCTGTTTAGCTTACCCCTTTAGTAAATGTTCCCTGTTGACGGCAGTTGTTGGTTGGTGTTTGTGTGCGTTGAAGTAAATTTTTTGTACGACTTCAGGAAACAGAAAGTGTGTGTAACGTCCCCACATCACGATAAAATTATCGCGTGGATCTGAACACGATTACGTGCCAACACGTACTGGTGGTTTGAGACGTGGGGAGAGGGAGGCGGGGCTATTTCATCGTTATCAGAAAATGATCGTATAGAGGCGTACACACGGAGCCGTTTGCCCCCCCAGAGCGTTTGCAGATCTATCCACCTTGGGACCCGTTTGAATACTTTTCTGAGTGATAACATTTAGGGTCTAATGATTGGCCATTTTAGAGTTATATATCTCCTCCAATGATTTTTATGTTTTCAAAACTTGCCTTAGAAATAGACCATTGTCTGGTGGTCTTCACTTATGAGGAGCTTGAATGGAAAATACAAGGCTAAATCATAACTGATCTACTCTTGCAGTAAAGTTGCTCTCATTAACATTTATGGTTTGTTTTAAAGGTAACACCTCTGTGTTAAGAGACTCTGAAAGTTTGGGAAAAAACATTATCCCTCTTTTTTGTCCTGATCCATTTATATAAAAACCTGTCTGAAAATGAGATCTGAAAAATCTGATTTTGCCACTTTGTGCCAAATATGTTTGGGGTTGTGGATTAGCCAATCAACAACCGAGGTATGCTGCAATGATCTGTTTGGTGTTTCAGACAAACACTTCAGATACATGTTTGTATATATCTGAGACCTATAATATATAGTAAATAAAGAGTATAATAGGAGACCTTTAAGTGAATTGACCTAATTAATTATGCACTTTATATATTTACTCTTTTTTATTTTAATGTTGTTGACCCTACTTTTGTATTTTACTAAATGTCTTGTACTGATATTCTATTTAAAACTGTTTTACGTGTTACTTCCTACGCCCTTAATTTGTATTATATCTCTTAGAATGAATAAAGCCCTATCTTGTAGTATTTATTCTGCGTACACACTGGTTGTACGAAGACAGAGACAGAAACATATGGATAACTAACAGTAAGCCTGGGTTACTCACACACACACACACGCGCGCGCACACACACACGCACGCACGCACACACACACACAGTATTTGGTAAAACTACGTCATGTGGCATATTCCTGAAGTTGAAACACAGTGAGTGTCTGATGATGGGTTCAGGTCCCTGGGACTCCACAGGATCAGCCCCTACCTGTTTGTATGCGTCCAGCAGGAAGCTGTTCCAGATGGAGCGCAGCCCAGCGGAGGTCAGCATGCGGGGCCGCTCTCCGGAGCCCGCGGGGCGCGAGCAGCTGAGCAGCGACACCGCGCGCTTCACCAGCACCACGGAGTCATAGAGCGCGAGGAACAGACAGTTGGAGAAAAAGCCGGGCAGTATCTGGAGGGTCACCAGCAAATCCTCACTCGCCATGCCCATTGTGTCTTCCTGCGTGTATCCGACCGCAGTACAACTATTGCAGCGTGCCCTGCATGCCTCCAGCGGCGCGAGGCTCCGTGCGCGCTCAGAGTTCAGCGTGCCTGTGTCCCCCTTCTGTGTGCTCGCAGCTGCACGAGGAGGCTGGAGCTCCATAACTCGTCCTATAAGTGCGAACATTATATTTCATATTAAGCCACACGGCTTATCTTTGTAGAAAGATTGACGTCAGATGTAGACAGTGAATACCCTCCTCCCCCCCTCCCTCGGGTTGAGCTGCAGCTCCACTTTGGGTTTTTCCTTCTTCTTTTTTGTGTAAAGGTTTCTCTGAACAATTTGTAATTCTACTGTGCCTGTGGGGGAAAAAAACATTTGAGATGTATAAATCTTGTTTTTTTTATTAGAAAGCATATTGCCACATGAGGAAACATTTTTAACTAATAAGTCTTTATTGTGTTATATATTTAAATGATATACAAACTGACCAAAAAGCTGCATGCTCACTTCTATATGTGGAGAGATGCCACCTCACCTCCGGGGCACTGCAGAGGTATTAAAGAACAAGAAAAAAACAGATAAACACTTTTTTGAAAGCAATACATGTTGATCAGGTAGACATAATCCACACAGTCATTATTCAAACGTGAACTGGTGCACCAATATCATATCTTGTATTGAAGTCCGTTGCTCCTTTTAAATACTTTTTTTTTAGTGCTGACCTTGTGATAAGGCTTAGGTAAATATTGTGTTAGTGTCAGCTGTCAGGTATAAGAGAGGAGTGGTTGAGTTAGAGGTAATGCTGTGAAGGGAAACACAAATCAATGGAGAAACAGACTTTAACACAACACCAGGACTGAGACGTCCTAAAGTCTCAGGTCTGGAAGATGTCCAGAGGGAACAACCCTGGAGTCGTTTGCTAAAAGTGTGCTATTTGGTGAACACTGACCATGAGGAAATCCCTCCCTTGTGCAAGTGCACTGTTAACATTGTGATACAGTATAGTCCTTGTTCTACATTCACATGTAGGTTTCTTGTTTGACTTGTTACCAAGTCTATTGTATCCCCCATCATTTTTACAAAATAAGGCTGAATATGTAATCGGCCAGCATGACACATAAATACAGGTATGCAAATACAATATAAGCAAGAATGCCATTGAACTACTTGCTGGTCTAAATATGAATAGGTGCTTCTTACAGTTTTTCTATAAATGCCCCACCTTTAGTTTATGGAAGCACTACTGCCACCTCAAGGCCAGTGACGAAGGTAACTTTGTCACTGTGGACTGACCGCTTCGGGCACTTTAGTGAACAGGGAGGGAGGTGTGTGGCGCAGTGGTCTAGTGCGTTGGTGTTCAGATCAGGGGAGCACAGGTTCAAACCCAACTGCAGTCAGCATGTCGTTGTGTCCCTGGGCAAGACACTTCACCCCAAATTGCTCCTGTGGGGATTGCCCACAGTATTGAGTATGTATGTCGCTTTGGATAAAAGTGTCTAACAAATGACATGTAATGTAATGTAACAGTTTGCACTTTATGAAACAACTTCCCTTTGCAGAGATAAAGTCNTGTTTTCAGTTTAAATTTGCAAAAGTAAAACGTTTATTCGTCTATAAAAACTGTCCTGTCTTTATTCATGAAAATGAATTCAGATTTTGTCTATTTATGATGATTTCAGCTCAAAAATCACGCAGCTCTCCCCTATATGAAAGTAGGCTACATAAGACGCTTTTCATTTAAAAAAAGTATCGATATCGGTATCGGCGATACTGGCCCTGAAATACTTGGTATCGGATCGAATCCAGATTTTGTGGTATCGCCCACCCCTAGATTCCATAGATGTGTCTCCCATCACCCAAATCCCCTGACTATTCTCTCAACTCAGTATTTACATTCTTATTCAAAGAAAATCAGTAATATCTTTAAAAACTACAAGTCCTTTTCTATCAGCTGTGCACCGTTATGGTGTAAATATAACCTATCCACAAATTGGATCAAATATAAAAGTCAGCCGCATTACTATTGATACTGCAAGGAGATGTATTTTGTGAAAAGAAATGCAAGATGTTGTTTAATTGTTGATATATTTATGATCCACGTCACATATTCAGTTTTGGCGGCAGTTCTTCAAGTTTGTCCGGAAGTCTTCTCATCAGGGCTCTATAAATAAAGAACTACGGCAGATGTGTAATATTTAATGAAGCCAAACCGTGTATTACAATGCCGTTATGTGATGACTTCCAAAGAGAAAAGCAAGCACACTCGGAATAAAGTATTGTTCTATTTTTTTTTAAATGTTTTCAGATATCATATCGCATTAACATCATATGCCAACATGCATTGCGGCTAAAACATCCAATCAACGAGCTTCAAGCTAAGGATCTTGGGTAATCTGTTCAGTGGGTTTGTGG